TAATGTAGAAATTTATCTCGAAATTTCTACGTTACATGCTGAAATTTATAATTTATTTAACGTGTGTCTTTCTATAATGACCTGATATGATTTTATCAGCCGCAAAGATAATAAATTAAATAATAAATAAAGTAAGATAAATTAAATAAGATAATAAAATAAATAATAAATTAAATAATTTTTCATCTTTCTCTCAAACACGCGGTTATTAAATAAATCTTTTTTTTTAATCTTGAAATTTGTAGATTAACGGATCGTATCTTACTACTTTATAGATTTAATCAATACGCGAAGACAATCGAGATTTGCTGTAGATGAATGCCGGGCGCCAAAGGAGATAGATCAAGAGAACAAAGAAGAATCAGTCGGAAGAGACAGAAACGGAGTCGATGAGAGGGTAGCCGAAATAATTAGCGGGAGGCATCGGGAAGGTCGGGCGGAAGGTCGTGGCCAGGAAGCGGCGTGGGGAGTCCTGTGATCTTAGGGAAGTCACGGGTCAGCTATGTATGCTTTGCTTGGTTTTTGTTGGCGAATATTACTGCGCGCAATTAACCGCGGTTCATTAGTTACTGTCCAATCAATCAAGACGTCTGACGCACCAAAGAGATTTCCTTGTAAATTTATCAGTTTTATAAAAAGCGCAACTTCTCGAACGTGACGTTTTCTAACATCACTTTCCGTACATCATCAATTGTGTCGAATAAAAACTTTTGCAAAAGAAAAAATATTTTATGCGAGAGAATATTTGTGTAGTACATGTTGGTATTTTTTTATCGGCTTTAACTTGTTAAATTAAATTTTTAATTTAACTTTTAAATTTTTAACAAAGCGATAAAATATCTATTTCTGTAAAAGATTGAGAAGGCAATCATCTCTTATATAGAAATAGAAAAGATATGATTTCTCGACGCTTTGATGGTGGAAGAGATAAACCTTTCACGTGCTATAATTTTTTTAATGTATAGAATTAGATCCTGATTAATTATAAGACATCTCTCGACTTGGATTTATTTTTTTTAATTTCCGAGAAGGATTCGATTCGGGTCAAAGACCATCATGATCACCGCTAACTTTCCTTCATACAACAAGAAGCGCGATATTTACGCATGATGTGACTTTTTTGCGCGTGATATAGAATTATAATAATCATATTACGTAATATTTGCGTAATAATTCTAAATATCTCCGTTTTTTTCTAGATTAGCGATGTGAAAGTCATGTCGAAAGAAGATCATACTCAAATGCGACGTTATAATCCAAGCATCACCGCATCCATCTTCCTCAGCTCTCTGGTTGACCCTTTCCACGGGAGTTTAAACGAAACTCAGGCAATCTGCCGGGTGCTCGGGTCCCGCAGGTTCATTAGTCAGGAGGCTAAACGCCGTTACCCCACTCTGCTAAGTAAGCTGTAAGGCTTAGGAACGAGCCGGGAAGTCGGGCGTAAAGTCCTTCGTAACGATGCGTTCGATCGATTGTTACCGCATGATCTTGCACAATTCGCTATTTTACCGCGGCGAACCTCAATTCTCGCTTCTGGCGATACTGATAAATTGGCCACTTAAAAATCCATTAATTATAACGAAGCGCGAATAAGATTTCATACTTTAAAACGAGAGGAGAGAGATTCCTCATTCATCAAAATCTTCAATTCGTATGAATACTTCTTGCTACGGCTCTTTATATCATTTTTCTTTTCCTATGGAATAATTTTCATTCTAAGTTTCCGCATTAATGCTATTATTTATAGAGTCGATATACGAGTACACTCGAGTACAGAGGGTACAACGTCACTAGTTGTTTGCAACATTTTCGAGAGAAAATTCTCCCGACAGTCCATTACGTATGATCAGCACGGAGACTGTTCAGTGCGCAAAAGTTACGAGAAGCGTGAATCGAATTTTCATGAATCGCAGACAATTCGCAGCTTCGCTCTCGAGGAAAATTTTTTTGTTTCACACCGGTAGAAAGGAGATGATTTAGACGGTGTTGGAGAGTGGCGCCAGGGCAAGGATTGAGGGCGCTCTTCGACTTCTTCTGGGCTTGATTGCGTAGCCGTAGAAGCGAAGCTCCGTCCAGGCGTGGCGAGGGGCACGGGACGGCAGGGAAGACGGGTGGCAAGGGGGGGAGGGGAAGGCAAGGGATACAAGGTGAGATAGAAGAAGAAGAGCAACTTCCAGGGCGCAGAGGCACTGGCGCCGCGCGCGGCAGCCTCAAAGGGATCCTCCGCACGCCCATCTGTCTCCGCTCCGCCCCTATTCCCGCGCACCATATACATCATGTACGACCGCGACGTACCCAACACGACCACCGGGATCCGACATCGTGTCAGGCCACGTCACACATCACCGCGCGGCCGGACGGCCGGTGTCCCCTCGAGGGGTTGCTCTACTCCGCACCCTCCACGCGCGCCCCGCTACCTTTGTACTCTCCACCGATCATGCCCTTCCGCGCATTGTAACACGATGGGCGAAGTTACGACGGTAGCACCGCCAGACGTGTTATCATCACACTCGGCTCGCTACAATGCCGCCAAAGTTTACCCCGTAACGTTCGCCTCCGATCATCGTGTTGCATTTCCAAGTCTGATATGACTCGGATCGCATTGTCACGAGCATCCGGGTCTCTCGTAAGATTTCAACGATATTTTGATATCTCGCCCCGCTAATCGTATACACAGAGAAAAATATCATTTTACTGCCAAAAAAAGCGACTCAAAAAGATTACTCAGTTTATTTTTCGTTTTTTAAGTAATAGTTTTCTTCAACAAAGAATATATTCTTGATAATAATCTTAAAATATATACTCATCACAAGTGTTAGAAAATCTCATTATCATGAACTCAAAAGAAAAATTTATTTTCTCTTCAAGAATATTGTAAAGTTGTATCAAAGAAAAATCAAACTTATTTTACGTCAACTCTTGTAGTAATCAAATTTTTGTTTTAATTTAATATTCTTGACTAAAATACTGCACTTACTAAAATTCAGAATATATATTCAATAATATATTGACTTACTAAAATTTAGAATATATATTCAATAATATATTAATTATATATTCTGAATTTTAGTAAGTTTTAGTAATATATTGAATATATATTCATAATATATTCAATTAAATTTAATGCTTGTGGTAAACTTATGATATATTTGCGGATATACAAACTTATGATACACCTAAAATAAATAATATTTACTTGAATACAATATACATTTTTCTCTGTGTACATTACATGCGCACTGACTTTGTTTACGTGCAAATGGAACATTATTCGTTCTCACCGTTTCATATTTTCCATCGTCTGCGATATATTAGCACGTATCGAGAACGGAGTAACGTTTCAAAGTATGCAAAAATTTTGAAGTTATCGTGCCTTATAAATAAAATTAATGGGTCGCGACTGAAGCTGATATAGATGGAACTATGCGATGATGCTGATGCTTATAATGTGAATATAATTACTCAATTTATCTTATACCTTGTTTAAATGTCTGACCTATGCAATTCTGATTATACTAGGTTCTTAATTACTATGCAGTAATCAATGTGCCCACTTAATTGCAAGAATACGCGCAATTCGCGTGTATCATATAATCAGACGGCGTGCTGATTTCTCACGACATGATTGATTATAGCTTATATAATCACGAAATAACGTAAAAGAATCTAAATCTCTTGCATTTTTACTTGTGACTTTACGAGGGTCGTTTGACTGAAAAAACGAATGTAAACTTCATTATTTAGGATCAATATTTCCATCCTTGCAGACAATTTCATAAAATATTAAACGTTATATGAATTTATAATTATATAATGCAAGAACAGGTTAAACTTTCTGCCTTTAATTATGTTCTAATAAAATCTTGTATTAAATAAAAAAATACAAGTTCAAGAGATCCAATCAATCATTGCACATTCATCATTTCAATCACTTTTCATTTAAATTATTTTTTTTAACGCGAGCAGGTGATTTACAATAAAAACTTTCGACTTGGAATTAATGAGCCTAAATGTATCGAACAAAGATCCCCATTGATAGAAGCGAGAGGTTGGATAGGAACGAGACACGAGAGGAGAATACGACGCTCGTGGCTACGAGTTGCTTTACCGAGAAGCAGAGAGCTCGGATATAAAACCAAGAATTTCCCGCGAGGCTCGCGTGTCCCGGATTTCAGGATAGGGCCTCCGTGTATCCTCGAGCATCCTCGATCTCCTCGAAACAGAGCCCCTTCGAGGGGTTGACTAGTCGAGCTAGGATACGTCCAGGATCACGCGAACCCCCTCCGGCAGTAAACTGGCTAGCACGGAAATATCAGCCCGCGGATCTACTTTTGCGTTCGAATTATAAGCCGATTCAAAAAACAAACCAGAGATCCGTAGTATAGTATAACGTAGAAATGGACATTGTTATAAAATAACTTTAAACATGTCCAATAAGTTTTTTTTATTTTTATTGTATTCTAGTTTCAATATTTTTATTTACGATAAATAGATAGACTATAAAAAATTAGAATAAAACTGCGATATAAACGGATTTATTTACTGATTATTTTTTTACGTTAAATAAATCAAAATCTGTTATAAAAGATATATATTTTCTATTGCTCTCTTTCTCTCTCTCTTTCTCTCCCTGTCTCTCTTATATAATATTTAATTTTTAAAAGACAAAGACGTAAAACTTTAACTCTATTACAGATTCTATTCTATTAAAGCGACATTTGAAATATTGAAATATTTCAAGTACTTTTTTAAATAAATTCTAGAATATTTTTTATATATTGATTTCTTTGAATTTTTTTCATTTTTTTCTATGTGTTCTATTTCTTCTATATATGAAATAAAAAAATTTATATATACAAATTTGGCTATGAAAAACTTTCCATATCACTCCCCACCCCAATACATTATATTACACAATGTAATTATAAAATAAAATATTACAAGTAAATAATTAATTTACAAGTAATAATAATGAAATAAATAAGTTATAAATTGCATACCTTGAGATTGTTGTTCCCTTGGTGTTCCTCTGGATTTCTCTTCCTCTTATCCATTCGTTGCTGCTTCTTGATGACACTCACTCGCGAAAACATAATTAATAACGATTGCGCACTTATTAATTATGAGAATACGACAATCGCGCGATACTTTGCACGACACTCCCGATATTAATATTCACATATTTCCCGGAAGAACTAACGATTCGCTGACTGTTTATATGATATATTTCGATGTAATAAATCACGTAAAGTGTTTTAAAGAGAATCACAAACTGACTTTTTATTACCCGGTTGACAAACGTGTCAAAATTCATAATTAGATATAATAATACGTTAAGTAAACACTATTATAACGATTGATTCGGAATCTGTTTTGTACCTGATTAACGATCAAAAGTCAAAAATCATATTAATAATTTTATTGTTATTGCGCAGAATATTATACGAGAATTAAGCAATTCGTCAAATTTACACGCGCAGTATATTTCGAACATGTAAGAGTCCCACAAAATATGTATCTATTATTTAACGATTGATATATCACAATCTTCTCAAATCACTCGATCAAAAACAATTTCACATATCACGTCGTCGTTTTCTGCGAGATATCATCATGATGTTAATTTTATAATCCATCATTTTCGGATTTAAAACACGACCCGAGTATTATAAGAAGTCATAATACATTAAATGTTTATTAATAATTAATGTAAAATATAAAGAAAATGAAATAATCCACATAAATTTGATAACGCGTAAAATATTTTGCGACACGATGTCAATCGTTTGGTTTCGCGGCGTATACTGCCACTATTATTTTGGAATTTTTATGTTTGGGTATATAGAATTGTAGCGCGCTCTCTAATGTTTACATTACGCGGTTACCCTTGTTGATATTCCCGCGGCGGCATTCAGTCACTACGCATACCTTGAACGCTTCGCGTATTATCGTATTATCTCTCTCTCTGTCTCTCTCTCTCTCTCTCTCTCGATATATATATATATATATTATTCTTTAAAAATTATCAATCTACGCGATACTATTTAATTTGTGCGATTGAACGATTCGTAAACGTGACGAAAACTGAGACGTGTTATTTCGAGGCAAATACCGATTTCGTCTAACTTATAAATTTGCAACCAATGGAAATCAAAGCCATAGGCAGATAGAAATTATAGGTTATCGTTCCATCACGAGCAATTTTTGCAAGCAACAATTAACAATAATAATATATATTTCGTACTTACGTGAAGTGTATCGCGCGTGCAGTGAATCTAACCTAGCCGAATATATGTATTTTCGGACGCACAGATCGCGCGCAATAGCAGAGTGAAATTATCGATGCCATTTTCGACCATTGATCGTGTTAATCGGGTACAAAGCGAATCAGATCTGAATCGAGCGATGCGATAGTGTTCAATGAATGCGTATTATTATACTTAACTACAATGGAGTCCCGATAATTTCTTCACGAAGCGAGAGGAGCGGAGCGGAAAGAAATTGTCGCGAAATATCCTCGCTTACGTCACAGACACATACGGAATGAAGTGCGTCGTGGATGGGCTGCGCGCGCCTTCTCATCACTGCCCGGAGAGGAGACACGACACTAGTGTTGGTGAAAGTGCGTGTGGAATATTAAAGTGAAATATTAAAGTGAGGTATTAAAGTTATTCGACGAGTTTATCAAAATTTTACACATTTGTCAATGTCGCGTAATAAAAAGTTTGTGTACACTTTACACTTTATCCGAACGAAATCTATCGTACAAATAATGAACGAGATGATTTTCAAATCGTATTGTGTATTAACCTCGAAAGTGCCGCGCGATCATCGTACTCTGGTAATTAATATGCGCGACGTCGTAATTTTTCCATCGCGTTTTTCGCGAGTGAATATCGAGAAGGAGCAGCAAAGGATAAAGAGAAAAGGAGGTGATCCGGGGATAATCGTCCAAGGAGCAGCTATCGGTGAGTAATTTACGATCTTTTTTATTTATTTGTGATTTGTAAAATATTAATTGTTTCCTTATCTCTGCGCTAATAATTTTACATCGTTCAATATATATTGCTATATGAATAATATATATATACATATATGAATAATTATACGTATACAAATAATAATATCAATTAAAATATCACACAAGCAAATCAAATAAAATGTCAAGTAAAAATAATAATAATATAAATTAAAATATAACGTAGATAAAATGTATACAAATACATGTATTAAGCAGAGTGAATTTTTTGTAGTTTTAATTAGAGCAAAATAAAATTTTTTAAATATTTTTTCTATAAAACATAACACGAAAAGTCATACATTTTTAAGCGTACATTTAAATTCGCGCGAATATAAATTTTGATTTAAACGATGCTCCTCTGAATCGTTACTACAAATATTTTTTTCTCGCAAGATATTTTTAAATATATATTATATTTATATGTATATTTATATTTATTTATATGTATATATTGATATTTGTATAGTACTCTAGTAATTATTTTTATGCCCGAGCGTGTTCATCCAGATTTATTTCTCTTGATGCCATTGTACAAGCATATATGGTAAATAGATAGGAGCATCGAAAGTTGTCGTAAACTATCATGAGGGAGAATATCATATGGCAAATAATGAGGCAAGCGAGTCTCTTAATGAGCGAGTAACTGATTCCTGAGATAGGATCCGGGTGCGACGTAATGATCCCGAATGGGTTTAGCACCCAATAAAAATGTGTAAATATTTGATACAAAAAACATGTCTCCCTTCGGGGTCTCGGACTTGGGCCACCTTTAACGTAGCTCGAGCCACCACCGCGCGGGTCAACCGGTCCCCGATTCTTCGCGGCGGTCGACCTTTGTAGTCCGGCCAAGCCTCGTTTGTGAAACAAGTCGGCTTACAGGTACGCGAGACAAAGACCCCGTGTAGCTTGGTGATGGGTATTTAGGGATTCGGTTATAATTGCTTTCGAGGTTCTTGGACCGGTGATATCCTCTCGGTGGATCGTTCTCGATGCCGCTGTCCACGCGGCTTCGTTACGCTTGTTCGGCAAAGATGAATCGACGTTACATGATAGAAGATGCCAAAGAGCCAGGGTAAGACACACGAAGAAAGATTATTCGCAAAAATCATAGATTTTAATGCTATTTTAATCCTTGTCTAATAAAAGGGCTTTTTTAATTATATATTTTATTAATATTATTGTGATTTTTATATAAACATTTTTTTGTATATTATTGTATGATTAAATCACGTTTTTAATGCTATAATATTATATAATAATGGTATAACAATGATAGAAATTATTGATATTGTTGCTGTAAAGTTCATGAAATTAAAATTTTTCGGTTATTATTTTTTTATTTTCAAAGAAATGACGCATTCCCTTAGTTTTCAAAGTCTTGTCTTACCTTCCTTTATGAGATGTTGAACCCCTTTTTCTCTTTCGAGCGCCAGGCGCCAATGTTTCACGCCTTCTCGGTCGTTTTTTTTCGTTCCTTAAGCTATAGTTATGATGGTCTACTCTCTGTAATTCTAGATGTTGTAAAGCTTTTTAGTTTGAATAATTATTGCAAAAGAATAGAAGTTAATGTAATACAATTCGAAACAGTCATATTTTTGCAAATGATTAATAAATTAAAACAATGCTAAAGTTTTTATAAATATGTACGAATATTTTACAATTGTGTTAGCTTCAATTTTAAGCTTCTAAACAACTATTTTTTTAATCTTTTTTTTACTTCCATATACATTAAAATAAATACTTTAGAATATTATACATAACATAGGTATGAAGATTTGGATTAAAATATTGGATATTAATAAAAATATTAGGGTGACGAAATAAATTATGTTTCTTAATATACAGTTTCGCATTGCTTTACTGTCTTCGCTGGTATTGTCTTTTTCTTTCTTGCTCGGCATTCATTCGAGAGCAGAGTTTCTCTCTTCTTCTTCCTTACCTTCTCACCTATTCGCTTCAGTGCAAGTCATTCCAGAATAATTTATAACCCAAAGGATCGGCTATATATATAAACGAACCGACTAACTTAACTAAACACCGTGCTAATTTCATTTAACGCCCATGCCTATATCTTGTGCATTCACTATGAGGGGTTATTTATCGAATGGTATTCTAAATTCGGTTATTTCTTTTCATTGGTTATCATCAATTTTTTTCGATATATTTTTATAAATGTCATTTTTCTCTCTTGTTCAAAATAATTTGGTAAATATTCTTTTTTTTTTAATAATTAGCTATTACTTTTTAAGCTGAATATTGCACTCTTTGCGATATCTGATAAATAATACGAAACGTTTTAATGTCAAACAGTAATACATTTCATTTTGACATTATTTAAGAAAAAAAGAAAAATTAATTTAATTTAATTTAATTTTACGTTATACAATTGATCATATAGCAATCTTCTATCATAAAAACAATAATTTACTTATTTTAAAATGTTTTATGGTACAATTAGATTTCTTTCTTTAATATTCGTTTGACTCAAAAAATACGATCAGTTGGCGTGAAGATAGTACATACTCTGAAAGTCTACAATCTCTTTATTCTTTTTTGGGCGGTTCTCTTGCAAAGACTGAATGCTATTTCTCACGAGAAGCGAGAAGAAAAAAGGTGCAGTCGATAGTTCCTTTCGCCACAGCAATGAAAAACCGATTCGATAGCCTCATTAATGTCCATTTTATCGATTTGGGCCCGATATAAATTCTGTGAGATGATATTCTTCCTTTTCTTTAAAGAGACATCGTAGAAATGTGCGATCTGACACTCTAAAGTGTTTGGAAAAATTACGATATGACCTTCCAAAGATTCAGTAATATTAAGAAATTAGTTCGGCTACTGCTTCATTCTCTCTAGGAATTTATGAATTGATGGACCGATTACTTTAACGATAATGACTTGTGTTTAGGAAACGCAGATACTTTGGCATTTTATGATCTTCTAAATAGAAACGATTTATATATCATTATAAAGAAAATCAAATGTTGAGGAAAAAAAATTATAATTTATGATTTTATTTTTATAAAATTTTGAAAACAATATATTTGCTTTACATAAAAAATTGAAAAAATAATTATCATTAAATAAATAATGAATTTAAAAAAATAAACTTTTTGAACAGTTCCCGATAGTGGAGTTTTTAATAAATCTGGAAAGAGAGACGAACGTTTTCATTCGAAATTAATGACGTAAATCGATAGTAAACTCTAAGAGGATCCCAACGCTAAATTGCCACTCCCT